CCCCCCCCCCCCACTTTTTTTTTTTTTTTTTTTTTGGTTCCCTGCATTCTGCTGGAGGTTTGGTTATAAGTCTTAATATCTGTTTTGATACACTGCTAGGTAGAGTCTTTCAGAGGCCCTCTGTGGTAGGCTCCTGTCCTGTTACTTGTTTGCTCCTACATCTAATGTCCATCCCGTTTGTCTTTCTAAGTGAGGATTGATCATTGTACTCTGGGCCTTCTATTTAAAACACTATTTTTGTAGCTTTCCAAATGTTGCTTTAATTCATCCTTTAGCAGTCCTATAAGGAAAAGAATTCTGTACTTAGTTTGTAAAAGAGAGATTAAAATCATGCCAAGGAACAACACATTTTCTTCTCTTTTTCCAGTTTTATTGTGTGTTGTATATGGGCAACTGTCTGAATGTTTGTGTGTGTGTGTGTGTGTGTGTGTGTATGTGTGTGTGTGTGTTTGTATGTGTATGGATATGTGTGTGTGTGTTTCAGTGTTTCTGTGTCCATGTGCATGCACTTCTGTGTCAATGGGCAGGCCTAAGGCTGATGTCTGGAGTCATCATTGCTTGCTCTTTAACACTATTCACTGGTGGGGTCAGCCAGTCAAATCCGGAGCTCACAGGTATGGCCAGCTGAATCTAGGATCATCTGTCTTTGCTCTCTGAGTTTGGAATTACAGCAGCCACCAGGTCCACCTAGGGGTTTGTTTGTTTGCTTGTTTGTTCGTTTGTTTGTTTTGTTTTTGTGGCCTTCTGGGGATCTCAACTCCAGTTATCATGCTTGTGTTGCAAATGCTCTAACTCCTGAGTCCTCTCCCTGGCTCCTAGTAACTGAATTTTAACTGGAAGAGTAAACATCACCTTTCTCATCTGGTTTGGAGCCTGTCTTCTGTTTTCTGTCCATAGCTTTGGTGTAAGGAGTGAGTACTCCTGACCTCTCCTGGCTCTTTGTGTTCATCTTCCTGGACTCTTTTGTTTTGTTGTTGTCATTGTTAGTTTTGGGTTTAATACAGTCTCACTGTGTAACCCAAGCTGGTCTTATACACTCTATCCTCCATCGTTAGCCTCTTCAACGCTGGGATGACAGGTGTGTCTGCCACTCCACCCAGTTCATAGGTGAAGGGTTCATTCATAAAATCCAATGGGCATGCTCAACATCATACAACATCATACCAGACCATGGATGAGCCTGCAGGTTCACCTGCTGTAGTCAGGGCTGGGCCTCATCTCAGCTCCGTGGATCCGGCTCTTTGAGGCAAAGTGCAAATAGTCAGAAGCAGGAAATGAAAATCCCGGGTTTTTTGTTTTCTTTTGTTTTTCTCCATGCCCTGAACTGATAATGATCATGCATTTACTCATGGGAAGAAGCTATGGGCTGGATCCATGGAATACTTAGGAGCCCGAGAATGACTTTGTAGTCAAAGGAACTATAAAATGCTTGTGCCACGCAAGGCACCTGCTTTCAATGTTTTAGAATAGACTGGGGCATTGTTTCTACCCTCCCATCTGCCTTTGAGAGCTAGCCTGCCTATTGCTTATTGTACTCAAAATGAATATGTAAGAAAGTAATTCTGGCTTTGTGTGACACTGTTCTCTTTGGTCTATGCGTTAAATGCTAGTTTTATTGAAAACATGTGAAGATGATGTTTTCCTCCTGTCCACTTTTATTGACAAGCTGAAAAATGTACTTAATTACCCAACTTTCAAAATTAAACCACCATTTTAAAATTGGAAAGTTTTTAATTTTATTGGTTTGAATTCTTATTTATTACTATTTTGGCATATTTAAAAATACATGCCTCCCACATGTGATGAAAATTGCTACAATCTAAGACCTCTCAAGTTTTTCCTCTTACTAGGCATTTTTAAATGCTTTCATTTATGTAATTAATCTAATTTAGTTTTAGTTCCACAGCTTAAAAAACTAAAACAAACTTATTTATTACATTATTGGTTGGTTGGTTGATTAACTGATTGTGTGGCTCTGTGTTCGTGGGCACGTGTGCCATAGCACTTATGTGGAGGTCAAAGGTTGATTCTCTGCTTCTTTCATGTGGGTCTCAGCGATCTAATTCAGGTCATGATGTTCGGGAGCAAGTGCCCCTCTACCCACTGAACCATTTCGCCAAACCTAAGCCTGATTTAAAGAAAGTGTGGCAGAGAATGAAAATTATTTGCTATTTTCTACTTCAGAACTAGGGTTGGTAAAAGTCCTGTACACAGACACACAGACCCAAGTACCATATAGACTCAGTTCCTGCACACAGACTCAGTGTCTTGGGTCCTGAACATGAATTCAGGTCCTGTACATGTGCTCAGGTCTTGCACACGGACTCAGGTCCTGCACACAGACTCAGGTCCTGTACATGCATGTCTGAGTTACCCTGAGCATAAAGCATGACTTAAAGAGCACTGGGCTTGAACCACGGACTCCTAAACAAAAACAGAGCACTAGACATCATGGCAAAGACAAGCAGGATTTTCAGCAACCCGGTGAATTATGCTCAGAGCCTCATGATGCTGTAATGGCCACATGGGAAAGAATGAGCATGTGAAAGGCATTACTACCACTTTCCACTCAACATATGGATTTACACAGTGGTGGGGGTGCTGCCTTTAGAAAAACAGAGGTTCCCACAACCTAGAGAGGTCCATGCAGCTTGATGAAGTAACGGTGAATGGGAGTCTCCCCGGCGTGTTAAGATATCTGAGAAATGCAGTGGCAACCACCATGCTGGTAATCCGCGAGGACACACACAGAGCCAGCTGAAGTTCAGGCAAGCTCCGCATCAGATCATAACGAGACTGTCTCTCACTTGCAGTGTACTTAAACGAAGCAGGGTTCAACTTCGTGAGAAAATGCATTCAAGCTGTGGAAACACGAGGTGAGTGTGCGGAGGGTGCAGGGTGACCCCCGTAGGTCTCCCTCACGGATGAAAGTGAGCTTTGGGGCATGAAAACACAAAACATTTAAACTATATGGGTATACAGCCAGCTGTAACTTCAATTGAATTACACTTGCTTTTTTAGTTTTATTCGCTTTATTTTACGTGTATATGTGTATGCCTCCATGTATGTATGTGTACTGTGTATGCCTGGTGCCCGAAGAAGCGAGAAGAGGACATCGGATCCCCTGAAACTGGAGTTACGGATGGTTGTACACCATTTTGTGGGTGCCGGGAACTGAACCTGGCTTCTACAAGAGTAGCCACTGCTCTTAACCATGGAGCCCTCTCTCCAACTCTGGTACCATTTCCTTCATAGCCTTTTCAAACATGTTACCCTGTTTACCTCTTGCTCAAGGGCAAATGCTACTTATCATTGCAAGCCCGTTCAGTTTTTCAAACACTAGAGGTGAGATCTTAGGAAGATTGTACTCATTGTCCGTTTGCCTTCCACTCTTTGCCTCCATGACTGGAATAGCTGTTCCTTTCTTGGTGTCCTTCAGCTTGTCCTGTGGGAATAAATCATGACCCCTTGAAACTGCCCCCAGATCAAGGTGACATATGTTTACTTCCTAAGGCACTTGCTTAAAGCCAAAGTCCTGTTGTTCTTCAGAGTTCCTTGAACTTACATTCCAATTTCCCTATGCTTACGAGCTTTAAGAGGTAAAGCAGAATCCTTGGAGTCTCTCAGTATGCTCCTCTGCCTTTGGAGTAAAGATGTAAATGACGTAGGACCATTGAATGCAGAGGACTCTCTTACTTGAAAGAAGTAAATGAGAAATGATAGTTTTCCACCTTTGATGCATTTTTATGTTCAAAGAGTGGTGAATAGGCAGGTTTATTTTAGGACTTTGAAGACCTTGAAAGACTTAAATCATCGTTCAGTGTCTGCTCTGAGACATCTGTGCTGCATGGTGTCCCCGGGGTTGGATGGCTGAGAATCAAATGCAAAATTGGATAAATAGCTTTCAGATTCTGCATGGGCACGTGTCTGGGATTTTTTTAGATTCTGTGCTTGAGAAGGTCCTTAAGCATTCTCTTGTGATTTTCCTTCCATTAGGCATCACCATTTTAGGCCTGTACCGAATAGGAGGTGTGAACTCCAAGGTCCAGAAACTCATGAACACCACATTTTGTAAGTTTTAAATAAAACAAGGGTGCCATTTATTTTGGATATTTGTGCAAGTAATCTGACTCAGGTTTTTCTGAGACATAGATGACTCCTTATCTCTTTTATGTCATATTGAAAGTTATGTATTTACCTTTTTTTAATGTCATAACGAAAGATAATTTCTGAAAGTTTGCTTTGGGATGTGGGGGTGCTGTCACCTGAACCTAAGACCTTGGCTATAAGTACCCACTTTTTACCGATCTGCTAAACCATTAATTCCTTTATTCAGCTTTAAATGTTGCGCTGTAACAGATGGGTGGCACTGTTCTAAGGTTTGGAAGATTTGACTCTTCCAAGTGCCCTTTGTTAGCCATGATTGAGGAGTCTGCATGGGTGTAGACTGTCTCCTGACTTGAAATGCCAGCTACAGCTACAGCATTTAAATGCTTTCTGTCATCTTGTAATTTGTTTAGCTTCTATGTGTCTCTGTCTCCTCCATTTTTAAACTAAGGGTTATAATACTGCCTGCTTCTTCAGGTACGTGAGGACTGAATTAATATTGTCACGCTGCAAGCACTTAGAAGCTGACCCTGTCCTGTCAGCCATTAGCAAGAAATTGATTTGAGAGGCTATTATGCTATGTGGTATCTTTGAGGATAAGAAACAGAGTGAGCTTCCAACCTGATCACAAAGGTGGCTTTCCTAGTACGCCTTCCTGAACTCTGCCAGAGTCCTGAGAAGTGGTTTCCCTTCCATTGACCCACTTGTGTTAGTATGCGTTCTCATCATGACGCAGTAATACTTTGAATTAAAAAATTGAATTTTTATTCTTTCCAGCTCCCAAATCCCCTCCTGATATGGACATTGATATTGAGCTGTGGGACAACAAGACTATAACAAGTGGGCTGAAAAACTACCTCAGGTGAGGAAGGCTTGGTGCTGGGGATTCTGGCCGTGAGTGTTCTCTTCCTTCAGAATAACCACTTGCTTGCATGGAATCCACGTACAGGGGCTTCACCCCAGTACTTAAGGGGAAGCCACTCTGGTGGCATTTACACATTTGGGAACCCACACATGCTTTCTCTCATAGTAACTGAAAGAGCTACAATAATTTTTGAATCCTTAGTTAGTCTTTTTGTGTCCTGATATATGTGGGACTTTGAGTATGTTTTTAAATATATTGAAATGAAATTTTTTAAGTTACAACATCCATGGTTTTTTTTGTTGTTGTTGTTGGTTGGTTGGTTTTTGTTTTTTTGTTTTTGAGATACAAAGGTCTTTTGTAGCCCTGACTGTCCTTCAGCTCATTACATGGCTGCGAATGGCCATAAGCTTCTGATCCACCTACCTCAGGATTGCAGGTGTCCACTGGGTTATGTGGTACTGGGGACCCGTTTAGGGTGTTGTGAATGCCAGGCAAGCACTCTACCAATATAGTAGCATTCTTTTCAGTCAGTTGTGGTGAGAGTACCCGGGCGGTGGGTGTTTGAGGTCTGTGTTTTAGCACTGCCTGGAGCCTTTTCTAGAACCTTGTTGTGCAACCCAACCAGCCAAGTATTTTGCCAGTCATTGCTTCATCTCAGATTGGCAAACAAAACAAAACAAAACAAACAAACAAACAAAAAAAACAGAGTTTTTCAAGAAGACATGGAAATGTAGAAAGACAAAAGCTCTTACAGTTTTAGCTGTGCTTTGCTCCTCTCTTGCAGGTGCCTTGCAGAACCACTGATGACTTACAAATTGCACAAGGATTTCATCATTGCCGTCAGTAAGTGTGCTTGCACCTGACACGCGCAATGGATGCAGCTTGAACTGTGTTACTTACACATTCAGGTTTAAATATCCTCGACGTATTTTCACATGCTGCTTAAAAATATCGCCAATGTGGTATTTTTAGCTTGCATTGTGATTTGCAAGCCAATAAAAAAAAATCACACAGTAAACTAAATATTTTGCCTGTTAATCAGACGAACTATGACCACCATTGCTACCCACACCCTCAAACCATTGTTATTGAGTTGACAGTGTGATGTGATTAGAAAAAGCTGTGAGGGATTCTGATTTCTTATTTGAGTGACTAAACATATTTTCTATGACAGAAAAATGTTTACATTTTCTTTGCTTTTTATTTATGTGAGATGCCTTCATGAATTTATGCGCATCATGTGCATGCCTTCGAAGTCCAGAGGGCTTTGAATCCTTTGGAACACGAGTTACAGGCAGTTGTGGGCTTTCTGGTATGAGTGCCCTCTGAGCCATCTTGCCAGACCCCCCATTAAATCTTCAGTTGACATCGATAGACATAGCAGGTTGTGTCACGTGATTACTAATGAGTGTTTATACATAACATATAATGATTAGATGAAGGTGATTATTTCCATCTTCTTAAACATTTGTCAACACTTTAAGGCATGAATGACAGGATTGAGTATGATGTTCATGTGACTAATGTTTACATTATAGGTTTGCATACAATTACATGTGTAACCCTTTTTATAACAGAGTCAGACGACCAAAACTACAGAGTGGAGGCCGTCCATGCACTGGTGCACAAATTGCCGGAGAAAAACAGAGAGATGCTGGACATACTGATAAAACACCTGCTCAAGTAATCCTCTGACATATAGTTTATTTAATGACTTGCTGGTCTTTTTAAGCTAAGCTCTTACATGTCTTTTTAAAGTAAACAATGTTGTTGTGTGGTTGCTGTTGTAATCAGACTCCTTCGGTAAGCTTTAGAAAATGGTGCGCAGTTTGTTTTTAAGATAACCTTTTTGTCTGTGTGTCAATGTATATGCCTCCAATATGCACATAATTGTATCCTCTGTGACTGTTCAGCTAGTGATAAAACATTTTATGTCAGCTTGGAAATGTATGAGGAGCGTATGTTATTCTATAGTATTTCCAGTTCTTGTGTGTTAAAACAATGAGTTTGAAGTCCAGGGCTAGATATTACTAAGGTCAACAAGTTCCCTCAGGGCACACTGATACTGCAGATTACTCCTGGGGTTCACAATGTTTATTGAAGATCTTTTATTTCAGGTACATCAGCAGGTAAGTAGGTAGATAGGTAAGTGGGTTAATGGGCAAGTAGAGATTGAAAGAAAGAAACAAAGAAAGAAAAAATAGCTAGATGATAGATAGATAGATAGATAGATAGATAGATAGATAGATAGATGATGGATGGGTAACATAGATAGATATACATACATACATACATACATACACACACAGATGACTTTTTATTTGTATGTTGGGGATCAGTCGCTCACTCTGCTAATGAAGTACAGTGTATAGAGCTGGTGATATAATTCAGGGGTAAAGCATGGACCTCACATTTTCTTCTCTCACATTTCCTTCTGAGTGTCTGGGATACCTGGTTTCTATCACCAGGCCTGGATTCTTCTGAATTCAATCCCCAGAATTTTTAAATAAAATGGAATGTGTGTACAAAGCTGGCCCTAAATAATTTCTTTGAATCAAAATATAGTGTCTGCTCACCTATTCTTAATTGTCTGTTCTACTAGAAATACAGTACAGAAACAATTGGATGTTTTTCTAGGACAATTGCATATAATTCAGGAAAAATAAGCAACAACAACAACCCTTAGATTGCTTTTCTTCAGTAATTTAGCCTTTATAGTTATTAGCTTTATTTGCCTGTGCTTTTTCTTTAGACTGTTAAAAACACATATTGTTATTTTTATGAGGCGTGGTGTGGGCATGACACAGCACACTTGTGCAGTCAGGAGAGCTTGCAGGAATCCGTTCTCTCCACCCACCTTGGGCCCCAGGGATCAAACTCGGGGCATCAAGTTTGCATATCAGAAACACTGTACCTTCTGAGCCATCTTGCCAGACCCCCCATTAAATCTTCAGTTGACATCGATAGACATAGCACATTGTGTCACATGATTACTAATGAGTGTTTATACATAACGTATAATGATTAGATGAAGGTGATTATTTCCATCTTCTTAAACATTTGTCATTTTTGTCTGTTTGGAGCCTAGGGAGAAGAAATGGGAGGCTCAAAAAGAAGTGCCATAATATAGTAGGGTATGAGGCGATAAGTCTGGTTCCACCACACAGCAGTGTGCCTGTAAAGTGATTTATTATTTATATTTTAAGTAATTTTCCCCTTTTTGATCTACTTTCTACTCATGCCCATTGGGAATAGGCAATACTGAACAGGGAAACTGGCCTCTAGTGTCATATATAACTTAAATTTTTTAATACACCAAGTTTAATCGAAAAGAACATTTTAGAACTATTGAAACTTTACATTTACAATCTGTGTTCTTTGCTTTTAGAGTATCACTACACAGCCAACAAAATCTCATGACTGTGTCGAATCTCGGCGTCATATTTGGTCCAACCCTGATGAGAGCGCAGGAAGAAACCGTAGCCGCCATGATGAACATCAAGTTTCAGAACATAGTGGTGGAAATCCTGATTGAGCACTATGAAAAGGTGGCCAGGACCCTCTGCACACTGCCAACTCTATCCTGAGGACACCTATATTGTCTGGGAGCTTTACTTTGTGATCTGAGATCCCTGTAAAATGTCCATCTTGTCAGTTTCCTAAATTACTTCTCTATGGGGATTTTGGCTCTTGTTGTCCCCTATTTATTCAGTGTTTCAGAGTCCAACAAGTAGCTTGATTCTTCTCCAACCATTATTTCCTGAAGTTTTCTTCTTTAGTGGGTTGTACTTGGCTTACTGCTCCGATTCAGAAAGTACTGACTGCAACATTGCTTGTGTTCAAGTATGATTTAGCCTTCTCTCTTTATCCCTCTGAATTAGACTGCTATCGGTATAGTAATTCCAATATTTCTAATACAAAATGAGGTCAGATGTGGTAGTACATGCCTGTAACCTCAGCCCTTAAGAATGAGAATCATGATCTTGAACTGAAGCCCATCTGTGCTATGTGCAAGAGCCTATCTCAAAATGAGGGGTAGAGGATGGTTAGAAAGTAGAGGCTTGGATCTTGAAGTCTTCCTTAAGAAGGTTTTCCTTAAAAGTGTAAGTTCTTGGAGTAACTATGAAAATGGGAAGTTGTGAAAGCCGAATTAGGTAGACTCTTAAGCAAATTCAGCTATTGTGTCTGATCTGGCTCTTCTTGGGAACAGCCCCATCCTTTTTCTCCTGAGAGCCCTTTCCTTGTAACCACACAGTAATGTCCTCAGTTCACTGCCTATGGTTGCAAGCTCTCAGTCCTGTCATATGTAGCCACATCAGAAGGCTGTGCTCACTCTACTTCCTGCGGCCGCCCCGCCCCCTGGCAGCCTGGAGCCCCCAGCTTCTCAGGACCTTCCCCTGCACTGCTCCTTCAAGGGAGCTACTCACTTGAAGCCAGATAGAACCAAGCTTCCCCCTGGGTTATGTTTCCCTGAGATCAGAACAAAAAAGAAACATTGCACTATGAAGAAGCAGAAGTTCTTGGTGTAGACATTTGCTCAGGTTGGACAGGTTTCTTCAGGTTATCAGATCTCATGTTCACCATAAGCTGTGGCAAACAGCAAAGATGTCATTTAGTGGATACAAAGGAAAGCAACAGTTTCCGTATCATGCATCCCCTGCGCTCCCGAGCTTCCTTTCATAGCTGCTGGAGCTTCTAGCATGGGGATAGAAGCACGGGGATGTTTCGCTCTTTATTGACCTCAGTCCATTTTTCTTTTCTGTAGATTTTTCATACTGCCCCAGACCCAAACATTCCTCTTCCTCAGCCTCAGTCTCGATCTGGATCTCGAAAGACCCGTGCCATCTGCCTGTCCACAGGCTCTCGGAAGCCCAGAGGGAGGTACACGCCATGCCTAGCAGAGCCTGACAGTAAGTGTGCCCGTTGCAGGGAGAGGCTCTCCTCGTTCTTCCGTTTATTCTGACTTCTCTTCGTTGGTAATTAGGAATAAATAGATGTTCTTGTGGGTGCCTTTTTTTTCCCCCCCAACAGCCCTCTTCTAGCACTTATACAGTCCTGTCAGCTTCATGGCAGGGTTGCTTGGACAAGCAAATTCGTTATTGCTGCAAAGGGAAAAAGAAGTAGTTTGCTCACTGCTCTTTTCTCTGGGGCTGTGATTAGGACACTGGGTGCTACTTGTGGCAGATTTTGTCCTTTTGTCGGAGTAGCAGATAAGAAGCTAGAGGATGTCAGACTGAAAAGACAGTTTCTGGCTTTCTTTTCACATTATGTTCTTAAAAAAATCAGCTCATGGATGTCAGAGTGTCCCAAAGAGAGGAAAGAGAAAGAAAGAAAGAAAGAAAGAAAGAAAGAAAGAAAGAAAGAAAGAAAGAAAGAAAGAAAGAAAGAAAGAAAGAGAAAAAAAGGAAAAAAAAACAGCAGCACACAGGAAATCACAAACTTATTCTGAGCCAGTCCTCAGGGTAGGGGTGGCCACAGCTTGAGCCCATGACAGACATTAAACTATGGTGGTTCTTATTGTATGTCTTTTCCACCAGGTCTCAGTGTTTTCCCATGATCCATATTTAATAGATAGTACTCTAGTTAATTTTGCCTTGGTATAGCTGCAAGATTTAGTGCCATTTCTCTGACTTTTTAATAATTGTACTTTTAGGAACATTAAAAATAAACCAGGTTAAACAGCCAGCTTTTCATTTGTTTGATTTCTTTTTCTTGTGCAGGCTAGTCAAGTGTTCTACATTTGAGTTCTACCCCCGCCCAGCAACCAGTCTCTTGTGTTACTCTATTCATAATAGAAAAGTGAAAAAAAAAGCTTTCTTCCAAATCTGTGATCAGCTTGTAATTTGCTGCTGAAATTCAGTGGTGCCTTTGAATGACAGAGACCCAGTACCTTGTAACTCAAAGCCACCTGTGCTCAGAAAAATTAAAGAAGGCAAAAATACATCTCTAATAGAAGCATATCTCTTCCGTTGATTTAAAGAGCTGCTTCAAAGAGCCACATTTGCCCATAGGAGCAGTTCGTTCACAGGGATGCATAAGAAATTATCCTAGAGGAAGTACAGAAAATCACATTCACCACCATCAAAGGCAAGCTTTAGAGCCTTTTGCTAGTACTGAGGATAGTCGACTAGGTAAAGGCCCACCATGCCAATGGCATCACGTGGTCGTGAAAGGCGTGATGATGAGGGAGTACAGAAGGGCTTTGGTGGTGCTGTTCCACAGTAATGAGCCATAGCCACTGTCACTTCTGTCTGTGTCCTCCTCAGGTGATTCCTACAGCAGCAGCCCAGACAGCACACCCATGGGCAGCATAGAGTCGCTCTCTTCCCACTCCTCTGAACAAAACAGCACCACAAAGCCGACTTCCTGCCAGCCCAGGGAGAAGTCAGGTGGCATCCCCTGGATCGCGTCTCCATCATCTTCCAATGGACAGAAAAGTCTGGGTCTCTGGACAACTAGTCCAGAGTCAAGTTCTAGAGAAGATGCAACCAAAACAGATGTGGAGTCAGACTGCCAGAGTATGGCCTCCGTCACCAGCCCGGGGGACGTGTCTCCCCCCATAGACCTAGTCAAGAAGGGGCCCTATGGGCTGTCAGGACTGAAAAGGTCCTCTGCTTCCTCCTCTCTCAGATCCATCTCTGCAGCTGAAGGTGAGCATTCCTAGAGCCCATGCTGGGTGGCCTTGTCCCAGGGTTGCTGGCTGGACCATTTCAGGTGACTAATCAGGAACAAGATTAATGGGGAAACCAATGGAGCTTGTCCTCTTTGTTCTTGAGCTTGGGTTTTAAAATTTCTCTGCACTGTGACTTTTTTTTTTAACCCAGAACTTTTCCTTCTTTATGGGGTGATGTCTTGTAATTGCTGTAGATTTTGATCTCCCTAAATGATGGACTGCTACACCCAAAGAACATTCTGTCCCTTCCCATTTCTTGGGGAAAAAAAATGCTGTCTTTTGTTATGCACTGTACTGTGTTTTTGCTATTATTTTGGCTAATAGCACGTTGCCTGTTTTCTTGGGCTTTCTTTTCAGGAAACAAGAGCTACAGTGGATCCATTCAAAGCTTAACTTCTATAGGCTCCAAAGAGTCACCCAAAGCCATGCCAAATCCAGAGCTGCCTCCAAAAATGTGCAGGAGGTTAAGGCTAGACACCACCTCCAGCAATGGCTACCAGCGACCTGGCTCAGTGTGAGTTGGAATGACTGTGTATCCATGGTGTCTCCTACAGGTGTGGAGGGGTTGGGTCTGTCCTAAAAGAATTTGGAGGTCTGTAGTTAAATGGCTCATCTATAGAGTTGGTACCTTTAACTTCTGTTAGATGCTGTCATCCCGCTCCAACATACACATTCTGTGACTGAAGCAGGGTGTGAACCAGCAAGTTCGTTTAGTAGACATTTTCAGAGGTTGTTTTGTTTGTTTGTTTGTTTGTTTGTTTTCTTTTTGCTTTATGGCAAAGGTGTCCACCTTAGGAAGCACAAGAAATAATCTTCCTCTGATATTGGAATGGAAACAGCCCCTCCTCTATCATGACAAGAGATTCTTTGATTCCTCCTTGGTGATTAGCTGAGTGGGGAGAGAATGTTCCTCTGTTCTTTTTTTTTTTTTTTTTTTTTTTTCTTACCTCCGAGGTAAAAGCAAGACCCCAGGAACAAGCTGTGGGTTTATTACAGTCTCAGGCTCTGTGAGCTGCTGGCTGGCTTTCACATTAAAACATAAAGCAGTTCCACTGTGGCTCTGATTTGGGGGCCAGTTTCTAAGTGCTTTGCTCCCACAATAATCCTGAATATGCCATTGAACAGAATGACTTTTCTGATTGACTTCATTTTAAAATAGGAAAGTATTGTAATTCTTTAAATACTGTTTTTAAAATATTGCTCCACATATTTGAAAATAATTTTCAGGGTGGCAGCCAAGGCTCAACTCTTTGAAAATGCTGGGTCGCCCAAGCCAATTTCTTCTGGACGGTAAGTTCTCAAAAACGTTAACACATTAAATAAGTAAAAGAGCAGCAGTGTCATTGCATTGTGCTGATGTGGTGTGATTTGTGACAGCCTCGACCTCAGTTTCCCAGGTAATGAAATAAGCCAGTGTCCAGTGGCCTTTCCCAGGAACAGTTTATCTGCAGATAGCCTTGTATCAGATTGGTACCACGAAACCTTCCTTCTTAAATGCTTGGAAAGAATTCTTGCTGGAGCTGTGACTCAGTTGGTGGAGGGCTTGCCTGGCATAATAAGGTCCTGTTTTAATTCCCAGCCCACCACAGACTAGATATGTTAGTGAACACCTATAATCTCAGCACACAGGCAGTGAGGTCATGAGGACCAGAAGTGGAGGTCCATCCTTGGCTACACCACAAGTGTGAGGCCAGCCTGGGCTACGTGAGTTCTTGCCCCCAGTCGCTGCCTAAAGAAGGATTCTAAACCAATTTTCTAAGGACGGAAGTTACTGTAACTTCTCCCTTAGTGCACTTCTAATGACGGTCATTTTGTAGGCAATTGTCAAAAGTGTATTCTTGACATTTAAAAGTTACCATTTCTCTGAAAGAATTTTTCAGAGAATACTGCATAATACAGTATATATAGATCCTAGTATATACAGAGCCTCTGTTTCTTCTGGACAGGACTTGGCTCTGTTTCCAACCTTGTGGGTCTACTCCTTGCTGCCTCTTTCTCAAGCTCCTGTTTCCTCTGTCTGTTATGATTCCTCTAATCTGCCATGAACTTTAGATTTTAATTTGAATAACAGAATTTTATGAAAGTGGCCGTTTTCCTGAGGTTTTCTTTTTAGAAGAGGTATTCCAAACGAGCATATAAACGAGCTGTCTTGTGGAGGAAACCTGCCTCACCTCCTCATCCTTTTCCCTGTACTGGAGCATGTCTGAGCTTCCACACTGGCGAGCTAAGTCTGTGAAGCAAAGGAAGCTCTGAGGTTGCTGTTGCTTTCTGGCCTCAGTGTGAGAGAGACTTAACCTTGCGCTCCTGCCTGTCTGTTCTGAAGTGGTCCTCAACCTGTGGGTCACAATCCCTTTGGCAGGTCAAAAGACCCTTTTACAGAGGCCACACATCAGATATGATGCACATCAGACATCCACATTATGATTCATAACAGTAGCAAAATTACTGTTATGAAGCAGCAACGAAATGATTTTATGGTTGTGTTGGGGAGGTCAACACACCATGAGAAACTGTGTTAAGGGTTACAGCATTAGAAAGGTTGAGAAGCACTGCATGGTGGAATTTCTCCACTAGGTGGAGCCCTTCCATTAGGAAGTGTTAAGCAAAAACTCAACAGCAAGCCTCCCTCTCTATCCATGAAAAAGATTTGTTCTAAGACCTACCCTCCAGTGCTCAAACTTCATGGATGTTCAGCCTCACATATGCCATGTGTGGCATTCGCATAATACCTATTTATATCTGCCTTGATGTAGCCACCAGTAGAATATTTAAAATACCTAATGTTCACATGCTATGTAAACAGGTGTTATATCCACGTGGCTTAGAAAATGCTCACAAGAAAAAGATCTGTATGTGTTCAAGACAGATGCATTTTTTTTTCCTGAATAGTTCAGTATGGTCGGTTGAACCTGTGTTTGAGGAGGAGCCTACAGATATGAAAGCTGGCCAGAACTCTGATTATAAAAATTACCCGACAGGTATTAGCAGAGCAAGCCGTTAGTGGAGTGAGTGAGAAGGCTGTGCTCTGAAGGAGATGCACTTGGATGTTTAGCAAACAGTCTATGCATTTTAAATAGCTTTGTACATTCCAAAGCTGAAATCAAGTAGGAGGCGTCAGCAGAGACTTCTTGGCTCCCTTTGTCAGCCAATCCGTGTACCTGTGAACAATGTTCATCATTTTCACTGAGACATATACGCTGTAGACCATACATTGCCCTCTGGATCAGGTGTATCCATATGCAAACTTTTGGGCCAATATTTGTAGTGCCCCATAGTTATGCAAAATAAGGTCGTAATTCTGCACTTACCAAAATGGCTGTGGATATATACAATAATGTTTTTGAACTACATGGCCGACCCCTTGGAGGTGGCCTCAACCTCAATAATAATACTATTGTTGTGGTTATTATTGAAATCATTCATGGCGAGTTTTCAGTCTTATCAGTCTTATAATGAATGTGTTTCTGAACTTGAAACTCTTCTGATGCCATTTTGTACTGTTGAATGAAACCAAATTTCACAGGAGGCTCTTTTCCTGACTGACCCCTCCCCCTCTTATTTGTTTGGGGTTCCTTCTGAGGAGCTCATAGAGACCCCTTTTATGAACACTAAGGGATTTCAGAGTGAGTAGAAGCAGAGGATGTCTCGCCATCATTTTAGAGGATGGCCTTGAGTCAAACAGAAAAAATTGCACTTCTAAGAGCCACGTGGGCTCTGGCTTCCACTGAGCAGATGACGGTAATCAATGGCATATGCACAGAGATCATTAGTGTGGCTTTTCGGAGACTGAGAAAGAGGCTAGCTGGCCATTCTTGGTGGAACTCGTAAGACCCGGCAGGACTCTTCAGGGCTGTGGTCAAGATGGACATGTGCTTGGAAAACGCAAGTAAGAGATAGGAAAAGAAGGATGCCAAGTGTCTGAGGCTGAGCATCGGGAAAATGGTAGCTTAGCTCCTAAATTCTGCTTATATTTATAAAAGAAGACAGGAAAGTTGTTGGCTTAGGGCTTGAGGAGCCTGGAAGACAGGTCAGACCATTGGAAATGGGTGCCAGGAGGAGAAGAGAGCATGAAATTCTATGAAGTAGAGAAACTTGTGGACAGCAGTGGCTCCTCCTAGGTGAAGGTGAAGGTGCCTGACAGTAGAGTGTGGAGAGTGAAAAAAGAAAGAGAAGCGGTGGTCTTGGGAAGACAGTTTCACCTGTAAACTAGGGGAAAGAGTGGAGAGTGATCAGGAGACAGCCTGACCTGCACTAGTAGAAGCAGCGAAGACTGCCAAGGTCACCATTGAAGGTTTCTGATGGGTGTGGGATTGCCCTCTGCTTGCTCTGTGGATAATAGGGTGGCAGGTGGCTAGAACAGGAAGATGAAAGACGAGGGTGCCAGGGAGGTGATCAGTCAATATAACCAGAAATGTCTTGGTCTCTGCTGGTGAGAGAGATAGAGGGTGGGGTCGGGAACATGGCAAGCCTTTGGGAACATAACTGAATGTGGCAGAGGAGAGGGGGCTTGCCTGATGATTTCCTTCCTAATCAGCCTTGGATGATGGGCCATTAGTGCTGGCTCTGGTGTTTCTAAATCAGACCTTACACAGAAGCTCCAAACTTAGGCTGGTCTTAGGATGCCAGGGTCCCTGGCTGCACAGAGCATGTGATGGGTATAGGAGTTTGCTTTTCTTTTTTCTTTTTTTTTTCTTCTTCAGTTCTTGCTTGTTTTTTCAAGTCTTTATTGCAATTTAGTGCTAAAAGTTGTGAATTTGTTATTGGTAATGGCTAATTATTCTTATAAATCTAAACCACACTGGATTCTGGGAAAACTGTTGTGAATGTCTATTTACATTTTTATTATTATCATTAATTATGATTTATTCATTTTGTATCCTAGCTGTGGCTCCCTCCCTTGTCTCTTCTCAATCCCATCCTCCCTCCCTCTTCTCCCCCATTCCCCTCCTCTAGTCCACTGATAGTGGACTTCCTCCTCCCCTTCTGTTTGACCCTAGCCTATCAGGTCTCATCAGGCAAGGCTGCACCCCTCAGGGGAGGTGATCAGAGAGCCTGTCACTGAGTTCATGCCAGAGAAAGTCCCTGCTCCCCTTATTAGGGACCCCACTTGGATACTGAGTCTGTGGGCTACATCTGAGCCTGGGTTTTATATCCTTTCCATGCATTGTCTTTGGAGTATCAGTCTCTGCAGGCCCCCCCAGGGCTCTGTTTTTTTATTTGTTTGTTTTTTACTCTGTTGGTCTCCTTTTGTAGCTCCTGTCCCCTCCAGGACTTTCTTTTTTTAATTTTATTTATTTATTTTTATTTTATTATTATTATTAATTACACTTTATTCATTTTGTACCCCCCATAAGCCCCTCCCTCCTCCTCTCCCGATCCCACCATTCCTCCCCTTTCTGCATGCATGCCCCTCCCCAAGTCCACTGATAGGGGAGGTCCCCCTCTCCTTCCTTCTGATCTTAGTCTATCAGATCTCATCAGAAGTGGCTCCAGGACTTTCTATTTCTCCCTTCTTTCATAAAATTCCAAGCATTCTGTCCAAAGTTTGCCTGAGTCTCACTCAGCCTCTGCTTTAATACCTCAATCAATAATGTCTTTCAGAGGCCCTCTATAGTAGGCTTCTGTCCTGTTCCCTGTCTTCTCCTGTTTACAATGTCCTTCTGAATGAGTATTGAGCATCTCCCCCAGGGTCCTCCTTCTTGATTAACTTCTTTAGGTGTACAGATTTTAATATGTTTATCCTATCTTATAGTCTAGTATCCACTTATAAGTGAGTATATGCCATGTGTGTCTTTCTGCTTCTGGGTTACCTCACTCAAGATGCTCAAGATGATCTTTTCTAGTTCCCACCATTTGCCTGCAAATTTCATGATTTCTTGTTTTTAATAGCTGAGTAGTATTCCTTTGTGTATATGTACCACAGTTTCTGTATCCATTCCTCCATTGAGGGACATCTAGGTTGTTTCCAGATTCTGGCTCTTACGAAGAGAGCTGCTATGAACATGGTTGAGCAAATGTCCTTGTTGTATACTTAAGTATATTTTGGATATATGCCTAGAAGTGGTATAGCTGGATCTTGAGGTAGCGCTATTCCTAATTGTCTGAGAAAGTACCAGGTTGATTTCCAAAGTGTTTGTACAACTTTACATTCCCACCAGCAAAGGAGGAGGGTTCCCCTTTCTCCACATCCTCTCCAGCATGTGTTGTCACTTGTTTTTTTATTTTATTTTATCTTAGCCATTCTGATTGGTATAAAGTGAAATCTCAGGGTTGTTTTGATTTTCATTTCCCTGATAACTAAGGATGTTGAACATTTCTTTAAGTGTTTCTTTGTCATTCAATATTCCTCTATTGAGAATTCTCTGTTTAGCTCTGTACCCCAGTTTTTAAATTGGATTTCTTGGCTTGCTGGTGTTTAACTTCTTGAGTTCTTTATATGTTCTGGATATCAGCCCTTTGTTAGATATAGGGTTGATGGATATAATTTCCCAATCTGTAGGCTGTCATTTTGTTCTGATCACAGTGTCCTTTGCTTTACAGAAGCTTTTCAGTTTCATGAGGTCTCATTTATTGATTGTTGATTTGTCATTGTTTTTAAGAAATGATATGGATATTTTTTCTGGGTTGCAAAGCCTCTGTCTGTGTCCATCATCACACAGACAATGAGGTAACAGTTGCTGGCTAAGCATCACCAGTTTCAGCCCTTGTTCCTCTAATATCACACCCACTCAACATATTAACATGAAAAATAAAGTGAGGAAAATCAAACCAAAGCCAAAGCAGCCTGTTCAGAAGCATTCTAACAAATCACAGCCTCCTTAAAACCAGCCTCTGCTATTGTGTTGTCTCCTTAGGATGTGTTGTCTAGAAACATGAGAAGGGTTTCCAATGCATCACTGATGTGCAGGTCTCTTCTGATTACAACAGGATCACACACAGTTTGTGAAGAATGCCCTGATGTGGACCCATTTGTACACATCTTTATGTTACATCCTAATTACCGCCAACATTAATTAAGAGTAGTTTTAGCTGTATTTGAGTTGAGTGTTGTTTTTATAAAATGCCTTGCTCTTTCAGCCAAGCCAAAGCCATGTACTCCTGCAAAGCTGAGCACAGTCATGAGCTGTCCTTCCCCCAGGGGGCGATCTTTTCCAATGGTGAGTGCCTCTGCCATTTACTGGTGTGATTCATGGAAGGGAGAGGAGAGGACTGGTGCCACAGTTAGACAGGGTGCAGACTCTATCCAAACTCTGCTTCTCAGATCTATCTTAGTGGACACAACACATCTCTCTAGCCTCCAGCCTTCCTCTCGGGAGCATTGGGAAACAAGAGAGACATGGCAGAGCACTCCTGAGGCTGGGAGGACTGGCAGTTTGAGGACAGCCAGAGCTACATAATAAGTCTTGCCTGGCAGATACATCTTGTTCATAAGACAAACAAACAAACAAACAAAAAAACCAAAAACAAAAAAAAACACAGAAGAGGGGCATATTAGACAAATAGTTTATCTAATTGAGTACAAAGAATCCTCCAACTTTTGAGGGGCTGTATTCCAATAACATGAGTGCATAGATTCCTAGGTGATCACTTAGTTTATAGTAATTATCTGAAGCTCGTGTCACCTGAGTAACCTTTATTTGTCTCTTTCTTTGACCAGTGCACCCGTCAGTGGAGCCAGGCTGGCTAAAGGCGACTTATGAAGGCAGAACAGGACTAGTCCCTGAAAACTATGTTGTCTTCCTCTAATAGTATTAGTGGACGGCAGTATCTTCATGGTATCCATGGTAACACATAATAAGTGCTATGATTTTATCTGACACAGATATGGGGGACCAGCCACTAAATGAAAACAGCTATTTGTCTCGAGTTTTCACCAGCAGAGTATGTAGCTCCCACCTGATGTAAAGAGATACAAAAATCTGTACATCTTAGCCATTCTTTTTGGCTGTTTCCTTACTTCTAAAATACACTTGCCTTTTTTTTTTTTTTTCTTTTTTTTTTTTTAAGAAGTGATTTTTGACAGTGTCTGCTCTTTAGCAGCTGCAGAATCCTAGATACTGAGCTCGGTTCTACATACCTAAGATTTGGAAGTCAGAAATCTGCTGTACCCATGTTAAGATATGTTCCTTATTGCCTGGAAGTCTCTGAGGAACCTTGAAATCATAACCTTAAAAATGTAATTTAAACTGTTCATTTATTATTTTTTTTTAAAATATACTGTTTTATGTGTGATTGTTTTGCTGGTCCTAAACATTTCAAGAGAATCAATCCTTGTTTTATCATAGCTATATTTTTATTTGTTTTCTAAGAAGATAGTATTTGAAAGCAATAATGTATATGAAGTCTGTAAAGAAAGCCGAGTTAAGTCGAACACTGAATCCACCATAAGCAGTCTATCCAGAATTCAAGATGGCTTCTGTGGGTTCCAAGAGAAACAAGACTATTGAGCCCGGAAGTCAATAATTCGTGGCAGGCTAGATTTCACTTGTGACCCTGCCCTTGAGGAGGCCTGTAAACCTATCTTGGGACTTTCATAAAACACAAATGTTAATAAATGGCATGTGCTTCTCTTTGCTCCCTAGCAGCATTGTGACATTGTGGTGGCAGTTATGGGAGGTGTAAAGGTGCTGTGCAGCGTACAGCCTTCCCCCTGGCAGTGCCAAACTCTCCAGCTATTTTAATGATGGGGAAGATTTGACCTCTGACATGGTCTTGTACAAATGATAAAGATGTTGTTGGAAATTTGAATTGGGAAGCTGTGCCTTCTAATCTTTGTTTGGTTGAAATGGAAAACAAACACCCAAGTACCGGGTTCTTAGGCAACCTGGATCTGAACTTTTTCCCAAGATTCATTTATATGAATATTTTCACGTATTCACATGTACTACATGTGCGCCTTTTACCCATGAAGGTCAGGAAAGGGAGGTGGATAGCCTTCAACTGGAGTTCCGGATGGTTCTGAGTCCCTACATGGGTTCTGGGACTCTAAAGCTGGTCCTCTGGAAAAGCAGCAAGTGCTCTTAACTGGCCCCAGGCCACTGAGGTTGAAAGCATGCCCTCATCATTAGCAGGAATGAAGTTTACAGAGGTTTTCTTCAATGGTGTTCAGTGTACGTCCTTTCCAAAGAAATCCACTCAGTTATAGAGCTCACACAGCAAAGAGGTATTTACTCTCCATTTACAGGTTATCAACAAAGGGTTATATACCAGCCGCTTCTTCTCATAATCCACTTCAGTAATTCCACCCATAATTCCTATGAGTGTCTACAATGGCAAAAAAAAAAAAAAAAAAAAGAAAAAAGAAAAAAAAGCTTTTCTTCTCCATGCTCTAAAAAGTGGTCTCTCCGGGCCCACATTATATGGCCTTGTTATCTAACTGATTCCCTCAGTTTTCTCTAGTTCATAGACACTTGGGTGTCTAAAGGTCCATGAAGCTGTTTTTACATGTTTTAGCCTTTACTCTCAATTCATCCTACATCACTGTTTCTAGAGCTAATAGCCGGAGTATACACACAGCACTGTGCCTTTGTGCATTTATGCTTTTAAATGAAATATGGTAATGGTTAGAATTAAAGAGTAGAGAGTAACAATAAACAGACGAATACATGCAGAAATCACATCACTGAACTGAAGGCAATGAACAGAAACCATCTCATAAAGGTTCTTTGGCTCTTTCTCTTTCCCCCTCATGGTGGTCCCTGCATACTGCAGTGAGGTGTTGCCGAGCCCCTGCTCACGGTGGGTGCCTGATGGCTTTTAGTACACGAATGCCATTGCTGGCTCTGATGACCTTTTCCTGAACAGAAGGTAGCCTTTATCACACCTATCTACAGGGCACTCTGTTGAAGCCCCTGGTCATCACCCCCTTGCATCGCATTAGCTCAGGACCCCTGAAGGCAAACTGGTCTGCTTTCAAAGACCAGCTGGACAGCAAAGCTTTGGAGCTTTCTCTGCTGCTGCTGCTGCTGCTGCTGCGCAAAGGAATCTCCGCTTCTGTTTTATTTTAACGCAGACCAGAGCATTGCTGTCTCCCAGCTGTGCGCCAAACCCACAGATGCTTCCTGGAGGCTTTAGGGCTTCTCCTCTGTAGAGCATGGGTATGAGATCTAGCTGTCCTTTCACACGGCGAGGTTTACTCCGTGCCATTATTTGTCGAGGTTCCATCCCTGAAACAAGACACAAACATGCTGCTTTGTGTTGCACTTGTGCTTGAAGTCCTGACCTTTTAGATCTTTTTCTTCATTGTAATTACGAATGTGAGGAAATCATGATGGTAGGCTGGAGAGAGGATAACGCTGCTTTCCCCTTGAAGTCAGCTTCCTGCAGATGAAACGCTCAGGAGCATGCAAAGATCAAGACGTGAACGCTGAAGCACATGGAAGGTTTGCTGTGCATGAGAGCGCTGCCAGGCATGGAAGAGGCTCACCCCAAACTGTGATCCCATTGAAGCAATGAAGAAGCTTACCTGCCCAGAGACAGTGGAGCATGTTAGAACTGTCACAGCTGCACGCTGAGACCTAGGACATGCACCCAAGTAAATGCTTAGAGATAGTTTGATCCTTGTGAGGTGGCATTGAGGGCTTGATGTAACCCCTTGCGTGTTTTGTGCAGGTATCCCTGAGTTCGAAACATTGATGTATAAACAGGAGACTCTTTGTCTATGCTGCCATTCCACTAAGTTCGGTCCATACGAGTTAGTCATTCAACTGAACGATTTTCCTAATGTATGTCAGTATCAGAAAAGTAAAATAATCTTTCTATCTCTGCAGTGTCTGTGCAGTTTGAAGAGGTGTTCTTTCCTTGTTTGCTGGCTTAATTTATTGTGTTATAGGAATGAGTGAAATAGTCATCCGTTCCCTTTGCTAGAAGACTCTTTCAGGGATGGTGGGCTAAAGAAAGGACAAATATATTTTAGATGTCTCCTAATCCCCAACTGCCGAGGCCCCCAAATAGTGAAAATAAAAGGATATGAGATTTTCTCCATTTTCTTTTCAGTAGTTAACCTTTCATATGGAGACTGCCTTCGGAACACCTGCTGTGTTGGAAATAAATGAAGTCTCTCTGTGCTTCTGTGAAGACTTCCTGCTGCTAACATCTCTCCCAGCCTTGGGCCTCACATCTTTGTGTCATGCAGGGGCTAAATTAGAAAAGTTGTGCAGATCTCAACTCAGAGAACTTTAATTTGTCATGTAGTCTGAACATTCTAAAATTCTTGGGAGCCGAGTCTTTTCGATTTTGGAATTGTGTCTGTAAATAAAACACCTGATGTTCTTGCAGATATTCTAAAATATGCAGTGATTGCAGAGATGGGACCCAGTTCAAACCAGAAAATTCATCTCTGTTTCATTTATTTGCTATGCATAGCCTAAATGTAATTTCAAACAATATTTGTTATATATGTACAAAGGCAAATTTAACGGACTTGAATTTTCCAGTTGTAGCATCATGCAAGCACTCCAGATGTGGTAGGTTTGGGGATCCAAGACCCTTGCCTGCTTACCACGTTTGTGCTGAGGATGCCTTGGCAGCTAGGGCACAAAATTATTTGTTACCCAGTTTACTCACTAATGCCAGAAGAGATTTTGTATTTTGAATTCACAGTATATTTATTGCTTATAGCTCTTATCATGACCTTATGCCACCATATAAGATGTCAAAAACCATCTCTTGGTAGAGACAAAAATGGAGGTTTGACTCCTATCTAGAAATTACTTTCCTTTTGACCATAGGGTCATCTTCCCCTAAGGGTCAAGTTTCCTTTGTTTCTCTATGACTTTCCAAAATCAAAACACTTTTAAAAATGAAACTAGCTTTGCTGAACAGCCTGACTCCAGCCAGCCTCGGTCTGTTGATTCACAGATAATAACAGACATTTATCAACTTCCTGAACACATTTAGTGTATTCATCCATTGTTATCATTCACCTTCCTGCTTCAAATGGTGATGCCTTTGGGAAAACAGGTTTATGAATGACATGATGGGTCAAGTACTCAAGTACTCGAGTGATTCTTATGAAAGAATGGTAAGGCAGCTGCATCCATCCTTTTCAAGAAACTCACTGGAATGCACTTGTCAAGAAACTGACCATATTTGCTCCACCAGTGTTTATAAACTTCCCTGTGGACTAGAGACCCAGCAGAGTATGACTTCATTCCTCTATAGTGACAGACAGGCCATGCTTGTGGGCAGGCATTTCTTAAGGTTATAGGGAGAAGTCGAACCTTTGTGCTCATTGAATAAGTCTGACAGGCAAGGAAGCATTTTCCATGATTCAAGATGTTCATGTGCAGGTCTGCTTGAGGAAGTGTAGTGTGGGAGGGAGTTGGAGCTGAAGGTCCCAGGACACCTCCATTAAATGCTGTTGCTTTCATCATCACAACCATCAGCCATCTCTCACCAGTGCCTCCTAGAGTCTGTGCTCTTCTGTGGTTGCTATGGAAGCTATGCCTGAATCCACTCACCTCTGATGGAGAGTGTCCATGGCTGCCTATGCCACAGCAGGGTGAAGGTTCTCTCTTCCACCTACTTTTTGAGGAAAATGGCATGTGCTTTTCTGGATTTGGGAGCACTGTATGCTCATACTCCATGCTTAAAGCCTATAGTACCAACAAACACTCATGGATAGCGTTTTCAAGTCTTTGAACTCTGAGCTGAAGCCCTTATAAATAGGGAATATGACAGCAAAGATGCCCGTGTTTTTCATTCATAATCTATTTATGTACTGCTCAAGTTTGAGGTACAATTGTCTATGTAAAAGCCAAATATTTAGGTACAACACCAGGAGCTCCTTTGCATCCATATCATGAAGATTTAGATAATGGATATGGCAAAAGCTATCATCAATAAATTATTCTGCTGAACTTTGTGCTTACTTTTGTAGTGTTTTTGTATTTATCTGCATATCTGCATTCAGTTTATATATATATATATGCATAGACTTGTAAATAGCCTCATGTTATTCCTAATCCAAGTTGCCACAAAAGCTTTGCTGTGTGTCTATTCTGTGTATTACTCAAATGACTTTAAAGTAAACTATATGAGCACATTTTAACTTAGTCTTTGCTCTTGAAGACCCGCTCCATTGAAGAGTAGCCGTCTTGCCTTCATCTTGAGGAAAAGCAAGGTTGTCAGTCAGTTCTGTAACCTATCATTTTGGGTTTACGTAAGCGGCAAACCATATGAGCACTTAGTGACCTTCTCTTGATAAGCTAAAGACAGAGATTGGGAAGATATTTCTCTTGGTCTTAATAATGCACCTACCTGAGGAGAGAACAGAAATGGGCCACAGAGGAAGTGATAACTACTCCAACCTGTGCCTGAAATATCTTTTTCCCCCAAAGATACTGTGTGCTCACAAGCACTCACCAGTGTGCTATGGAGGAAGCAGCCCTGTATAAGTACACTTTGGGCTGGAGAGATGGCTCGGGTGCTTACTGATCTGAGGTCAGGCCCCAGTGTAAATGTCTTGGAGAGAAGCAGCAAAGTGTTAGAACAATGGCCATCTTAGACCTTTCCTTTCAGCTCAGCAGACAGCCAAATGCACTCAGCTGAATGAGTCCCCCGACAACTCGCTTGTAAATCTGTTCAGCTAGGGTGCCTCAAGTTCCCAATGAAGACAGGAAACATCATTATTGTTGTAAGCCACGAAAGTATAGTGTGGTTTGTTACAGAGCAACAGAAATTAAAAGTGGTCCTCGCAAGGCCAGAGCCAGGGATTTCCTTACGCTCGGGCTGGGGAGATGGGGAGATGGCTGTGCAAGCATGAGGCCCTCGGCTGAGATCCCTAGGAAGCACATAAAACTGTGCAGCAAGCCCTGTGCTCCTGTGAGATGGAAGGAAAAAACTGAAGAATCCGTTTTTTTCCGAGAACTAGCATGGGCTTCCATGTTTCACGCATGTAATGGTGAACAATGTGCATTCAGAGCCTGTCTCAGGCAAGGCTGAAGGCAAGGACCCAAGGACCAGCCACAGCATGCCTTTGGCCACATGCATATGCCACATGCACGCCTGGACTCTCACAACCAAACCTTGCACGTGTGAACACACACACACGTACCATATATACTCAGACACACAGGAACACGCATCCTGCCCTTACACAGAAAATCTCATTTCAAGCAATTTCCTTAATCCCCTTTGCTCTCTGGCTTCAGATATTAGTGTCTGATGCTCCTCATAGCCTCGTGTTTTCTTTTTCTCTCCAAATAGAGACCTCAGTTCTTAGTAGATACAAAGGATGAAAATAAAGTTTACATTTCCTATCCTCCTGTGCTGCTATGACCAAGTTGATGGGGACAAAAATATATACAACTCCCTTGATAGTTTTTAAGGGCAGGAGACCTCATTCCTCCATATTGCTGCTGACACAAGGAACAATTTTGTGCCACAAAGGTATGTACGGTTCAGATTGGTGAAGCAACAAAATAACTGGATTTTTGCACACTTCCATGAAAGTAGAGCACCCTATTTGTAACCCTAAAAATCATAGGACATGTCACCACAGAGCCCAGACTGGCTGGCTAAAATTTGATTGTTTTGTGAGAAAAAAACAAACTCTTATTCGGTTAAATACTGAAGCAGTTTTTTATTTTTATATTCAGCGTGAAGAAATGCCGGCCTCCCTACCAATCTATTAAATCATTCCACACCGTCAGAGAAATGCTAAATATAAGGCAAGGGCTGAGAACCTCTTCATTCCACCTGTTTTACGAAGAGCTAGAACTCTGGTCCAGGAGGGTCTGTGTGAGTCATGACCCACCTGTATAATGTATTTTAGATTTCTGCTCAGCTTGTCTCCCTCCCCCACATGTAAATTCAATGGTTGAAATAATAGCACAATTGTGTTTTGTTTATAGTAAGGACCTTTTACGTATAATGTTATAAGACTATAGTAAGGTTTTTTTGTGTTTTATTTTGTTTTTAGTTTTTTTAGACAGAGTTTCTCTTTGTAGCCTTGGCTCTCCTGGACCGACTTTGCAGACCAGGCTGACCTCAAACTCACAGAGATCCCCCTGCCTCTGCTCCCACAGTGCTGAGATTACAAGCATGCAACACCGTGCCCAGTTATAATTCTTTTTAAAGTGCTACTCATTGAAGCAAATAATGCATAGCATCACCACTTCCCTAAAGTGTGATCTACATGATAAATGTCCTCTCAGGGCCTAGTTTTAGACAGTCCCTCTTTGGAGGACACCTCTATTTCAGAAGGGCAAGGTGGGCTTGTGGACAGAAAAGCAAAGGAAGATATTGGGTCTTGGAAAGGTACACTTGGGGCAGGAGGAGTGGGAATGAGGGAGAAAGATGAGGACATGTAGGGGCAGGCTAGTTTCAGATGAGGAGTTTTTCAGGAGAACCTTAAATGGAGTCCACAACCACTTAGGACCAGTAGGTTGTAAAATGTTGACTACAGTTGTATGTGAAGGACCCTTCCCCCCTAGTTTCATGGACAATACTGATAATCCCTAATACTGATAATCAGCCCAGTGAAGGGCTCAGTTTCTCAGCTGCATCTGAGGACTGAGCTAAAAAAATACATTTCACAGTATGAATTTAAGAGGCATGCTTCCAGGAGCACCTAGAAGCACAGGAGAGACTCCCATGTCCCAGCCGAGTGAGACAGCAGCAAGAAAAAAGGAGGGCTTCAAACACCAGATTTCAAAACTTCATGGCCTGGTGGATGAAGACAACACTATCATGTGCACTTGTTTAAAACTTTGTTGTGCGGCTAATGAATTTTGGGATATAACAATGGTCATATACCTACCTGACTGGTAGGTAGCTAGTGTTTAGTAGGTCAGAGTACATTAGCTTCATTTACAAATAGACCTGTTCTAAGAGGGAAGAAGCAAACATGGATTTGTTCACGGGAAAACAGGCCAGGAGGCAGACTGAGGCCACATTTTCTTTGACATGCATTAAGTCTGCCTGAACTTCACTTCTCCACCTGGACAGTGCAGGAGTGGCGGAAGCCTGATTTCTGCATGAGTGAATGCAAGTGGTCTCTTCAGGAGCAGGAAGGCTGTCAGATGTTGGAGGTTCCGCTGGCCTTAGTAGATAGCATACCCTGCAATCCCAGTGCTGGAGAGAGAGGGGCAGAGGTCATCATATCAGTTGCCACATGTCCAAGGGTTTGAGGCCAGCCTGGGCTACACAGTGAGACTATGTCTCCAGAAAAAAAAAAAATGTTTGGATCAACACAAACATAAGGAATTAGAAGTAGTTCATCTATAGTTTGAGGCTGGGAGAAAAAGCATGTTAAGTTAAAACAGTTTGGGGTTCCCTTGATATAATTTAGATACTGTTTGTGGTTCATTAGTTATCTAAGGTATGACTTTCATCACTACTTACGTTATTCTTATTTCGCTTTATCTTAAATATAGGGATTTGGGTTAATTTCATATGATTTTTTTTTTTTTAATTTTTGGTCCCATGAGTAATTGCCACATGCTGCAACTTTGTTTTTTATGGAGCAAATGCAACAAATCCTGGACTTAGGGTCCTTCAGAAGCTCCACCTTCTGGCCTTAAACTGGTGGGGAGCTGGCTTGAGAGCTTTAAAGGGAAAGAGAGGGAGGTAGTGGTATATGGCTATCAATATACATTGTATGGTTGTGTGGAACTTCAAAGAATAAAAAAAATACTATTAAAAAAACAATATGGCAAAGCAGAGAGCAGTGAGTGGATTAATAAAAACTTAGGGTTTATGGAAAGCCAATAGTAAGCTAACTTCAAATTAGGACTTGAAAAAAAAACTGTCATGCATGTGTGGACAGTGTTCTTCCTAGAAGACACAGGTGTTGTGAAATTTAAATTGCAGTGCAAGACTTGGAATACCTCCTCTCTGAGTTATTGGTCATTGCGGCCTCAGAGGTCTCCAAAACAACAGGATATTGTGTGAAGAACATAGAGAAATCAGTCTCAAGCTAACTGAGGAACTCCCTCCTGGTTAGCTGTCAGAGTGTTGGAAGGTGCTCCCCAGGGTGCTGGGACAGAAAAGCCATTGTGGGGTCTTGGCACCTCACCCTGCATGCTGCCACACTGAGCTACCCGGCAAGATGTGCCCACTAGCGCAAGAGTGATGTGATGGCTGTGGGAGAACTAGACATTGTGTGATTGGGTTTGAGACCTCCATAGTAGAGCATTTAGGCCTGGCACTGTACTTCTGGTCAACAAAACCCAAAGCTGAGAGAAGTATAGGTGCCAAGGTAGTCGTTGCTATTGTTACGTTGCTCAATGGTTGTACTGCCAAGCTGCCTTCTAAATATTTAGAACTTATTTGTAAAACCACCAAACCATGATTAGAGGCTTAGAAGTTTTACCTCTTTCTCCTATCATCCTGGAAGTGGAGAGAGGAGAGCTGGGGAATGAGTTAATTGACTGTGTGTCTACCTGATAAGGTTCCCACAAAACTTCCCAAAGGACACCATTCTGAGAGCTTCCGGTTAGTGAATCCATCACCTGGAGAGAGCGTGATGGAACTCAACTCAGAGGGGAAACATCAGTCCTGAACTTGGGATCTTCTGAGCCTCACACAAGGACTTCAGAACTTTCACTTTCTTCTGGGTGCTTTTCTTATATTAAGTTTGTGAAAAAGACTGTTTCCCTGTGTTCTGTGAGCTTTACAGCAAAGAAGTACAGCTGAGGGGAGAATCTTGGGATCTTGTGATGTGCAGGAAACCTGTACAGAAGAGCCGAGCAACCAGGGAGCCTTGGTGTGTGCGGCCCTCACCTTAGGTGAGAGCAGTCTTCTGTGAAGGAACTGTAGCTTGTGAGGCCTAAATAACTGCAGCTCCTCAGAGTAAGAGCTGACTTGAATTACAGGACTGTTTGTTTGTGTCTACAATAAATCAGAAAGCTGACTG